TTTTTTTTTTTTTGGAGAAAAAAAAGATGAAAATATGATAATATTTAAACTAGAATTTGATTAAAATAACTTTCTAAAACAATATATATAAAGAAAAAAAAGTTGATTATTTTCTTAAACAATACTAATAGCAAATTTAATAAATTTACCACTTTTGAATCTGATACTAACCCCCTTCTAATCCTCCAAACATATACAGGGCATCGAAGAGCCGGAACTCCATAAGCTCATGCCACAGAAGCAGCAGCAAAGCAGAGACGACCGATGACACTCGTGCCATGGCCAGCGCTCTTCCTCGTCTTCCTCTGCTCTCTCTTCCTCTCCTTCTTTGTCAAGCATCTTCCTCTCCTCAATACCCACAAACCATCGAAAGCTCCACTTCCTCCCTCCATCTCCATCCTTCCCATCCTCCTCCACCTCGTAACCCACCGCGGTTCCCTTCAAGGAATCACCGTCCTCCTCCGTCGCTATCACTCTCTCCACGGCCCCATCCTAAGCCTCCGTCTCCTTCCCTTCGCTCCCCCCACCATCTTCATCTCCAGCTCCGATCTCTCCCATACCGCTCTCTTCAAACACGCCGATTCCTTCTCCAACCGCCCCCCACCTGTCGAGCCCACCATCTTCCTCACCGGCGGCAACAACGATATCTCCTCTTCTAATCACGGCTCCCTATGGAGCATCCTCCGCCGCAACCTCTCTTCCGAAATTCTCCACTCCTCCAGTCTCCGTAACTTCGCCCAGGCACGAAGCTGGGCCGTCCAGCTCCTTCTCGAAAAGCTCCATTCCTTTGCCGGCCGGGAGGAGTTCATCCCAAAACAGAGTTTTCAACACGCCTTCCTCTCCATCCTCGCGCTCATGTGTTTCGGCCAAAAGCTCCCGGAAAGCGACATCCACGAAATCGACCACCTGCAATCATTTCTCCTCAGACTTTTCTCCACCTTCAATGTCTTCGCTTTCATTCCCTCGATCACCAAGCTCTTGTTTTATAAAAGATGGGAAGATATTGTTCATGCGAGACAGAGGCAGGCAGAAATCTTCCTCCCGCTGATAAAAGCGAGGCGAGAGAGGAAACAGAACATGAAGGAAGGCAGCGCCGTGGAGTACTGTTACGTGGATTCTCTACTTGATCTACGCCTTCCCGTGGAAGGCGAGCGGGGGCTCAGCGACTACGAGATGGTGAACCTCTGCCACGAATTCCTCAGCGGATCCGCAACCACCGCGACGGCGCTCGAGTGGACCATGGCCGAGCTGGTGAAGCAACCGAAGGTTCAGTCAAAGGTGTTTGCAGAGATCGAATCTTTGATAGGAAGAGGCGAGGAAGATATCATAAAGGAGGAGTTTTTACAGAGAATGCCTTATCTAAAAGCGGTGATAATCGAATCGCTTCGGCGTCACCCGCCCACCCACTTCGTTCTGCCGCATTCAGTGAAAGAGGAAGTTGAGCTGAATGGGTATTTGATTCCCGTGGGAGCAGAGGTGCACTTTGCTGTGGCGGATGTGCATTGGGACCGGTGGACTTGGGACGAGCCCATGGAATTCAAGCCGGAGAGGTTTATGGACGGCGGGGAGGGGGAAGGTGTGGATTTAACCGGAAACAGGGGGATCAAAATGATGCCTTTTGGGGCGGGGAGGAGGTTGTGTCCAGGTTATGCGTTCGCCATGCTTCATTTGGAACTTCTGGTGGCCAATCTTGTGAGGGAGTTCGAATGGAAAAGTGATGCAGGGAATGAGGTGGATCTCACCGAAGTGTTCGATTTTACGATGGTCATGAAAAATACTCTTAGGGTTCGTATTGTTCGACGAAGGCGGGAAGAGAAAGCAGGTATGGATTTTGTTCATCTTGTCTTGTTCTATCTGATTTGTCATTAGTCCGAAATGTTCATGATTTCT